GCGAATTACTAGAATGAAGTAGTTTGGTCAACTTACATAACTTTCTCCCAGAATTCTACATATGTCATACTTGATCATCATCCATATCGACCAGAACCAATGGTTTGCAAATACAATTTGACAAGAAGTTAACTATCCCACCCGCCCCTCTTATCTAATAGCCTCTACAAATGGAAGATCAACAATAGCAGTAGCAGAATACTGGGTTTTGACTACATAGCATTATTGTATTGGAAATTTGCATGAACATTGTACAAAGTATGCAAAGACAACCCATACCTCTGAGATATAGATTGGAACAAGAACAGTATCAACACCTATGCCAAGGCCAACAAGAAATCTGCCCAAAATTACTTCATCCAAGGAATGAGCTTGTGCACTGTCACAAAATGAAAGGAACCCATCATCAAAAAACTGTAAGTGAACAACACCAATACCATAAATTGTTGTGTACCAACAAGGATACAATGTTGAACATGAAAAACTGCCATATCCTAATTCGAATGGCAAAGTTAAAATTACCTTATCAATGCACCCAGAATCAGAGGAATTGTAGCAATTTGAAAGGTCCTCCTACAGCCAAGTTTATCAACTATAAAACCGCAGCCTATGCTTCCGAGGAAGGCACCAACAATGAATATGCTCACTACAAGTCCCTCAAGAATCGAGTTTCCTTCAAAACCCAGTTCGCGGGCAATTGAAACAATAGGACCATTCATCACTCTGCAACAAACAAACCAAAACAAAAAACACACCAACTCAAAACTAATCAGAAAGCTGAATGCTTTGCTTGTAATTGCAAGGTACAGAGACAGAGACTCACCCAATGTGATAACCAAAGAGAAAATTGGACATGGAAGCTATAAACACGTGAGGAAAAGCAGGTAACCATCCCAAATCAAAACCTTCACCTTTCTCTTGTCCTACCCTTAATTTCTCACTATCTGCAATATTTTATATCATTAATTCCAAAAACTATAATAATTACTGTGAATATTCTAATTATCATAATATGAATTGCATGAGTTGAGAATAGATGACCTGATTTCTGAGTCTCTAACTCGGGGAGCTGCTTCTTCACCGACACTTTGTACTTGTTAAGGTGGAGCCGGATACCGAAAGCTCCGAAACGAAACGATTTCGGTTTCGGAAGATACCGACACACGAGTTTCGGGTTTGGGCGGGCGGTAAAGATCGTCGGAACCGGGCCGGCCGGTTGGTGAGGTACTGTAGCCACCCACATCGGTTCACTGTGAGCAGAGTTAGACGAAGTTCATTTCTCGAGGAACGCGATCATCGAGATGATTTCAGAAGAAATATTTTGTTAATGCCACATGCACAGCATGTGATCCACAGGAGGAATAGGCCGGGGGGCGGGACCCACAGCACAAATTTGCCCCGTCAGCCAGCAAGTGCCATGTGTCCCTCAGCTTCGGAGGGATAAATATAGGGGCCCATGAATCGACTTACTGATGTTTTTCTTCCTTGTCTGGGCTTTCTATTTGTATTTTAATTGGGTCCTAATTAGCCTAGTAACCCAAGCTCAGCCCATTGCTCAACTAAATAAGTTGGGGAGCTTCTATAATGAGAAGTTAAAGTGAGGAGGTTATTTGAGGAGACCGATTCGACCGTCAAAACATTTAAAATATTTAAGTCTCATGATTTCTTTACATTTGTTAATGGTGAGATTTGACCTCCTCAAATAACCTCCTCACTTTAAGCCCTCATTATAGCCGTTCTTACATTGAGCCATACTCGGCATCAACTGAATTTTGTCTAGCAAGTCCCATTTTATATGAGTTGTAAAATTTACCATGATGATAAATTCTTCGGTAAAGTACAGTAAACTCCTCAACCTATAGGGTCATTTACGAGTTCATATATAATTTTGAGGACATTTACGAGTACATACTCAACGTCGCAAAAAACCTACAATTTGTCCCATTAGTTAGCGAGATCGTCAGAAGATCCGTTATCTGCCTATGTGGTATTTATGGGATCCATTTTTTAATTGACGTGGACTTATAGGTGGACAAATAAATAATAAAAAATTATATACATGTTAAAAAAAAAATTTAAAATGATATTTAAATCATAAAAAGTGAAAAAAATACAAAATAAAATCTCCACTCTTTTCTCCTACCTAGCCAACCCTCTCTCCCTTCCGACTCAACCCCACCTCTTAGCCACCCCACTCTCATCGACGACCCCAAAACCCAACTCTCTTTCTCCCTCCTCCTCATAAGATTCCAATACCTCAAACAACATAAACATATCTTTGGTTGGTACAGAACTAGTCTAGGAGCAATTTCAGAATCTACAGCTAAGGGTTCACCTACTTTTCCATGGCAATTTGCCACAATCAAGCAGATGGGTTTAATTTCATTGAAGAAATTCTCCACTAATTGTAAATAACTTGTCTTATCAGACACTTTTCTGTTTTGAATTTTCACAAGAAAAAATCGGGAAAGCCCTCGATCTAGCTTGGTCGCAACCTCCATTTTCTCCGGTGCTTCGTCGTCGGCTTTTGGCATCGAGTGAATGGCAACTCCTAGATATTTTAGAGGATGGTAACGGCTGGAGATTTTCCAGCTTCCTCGTCAGCGAAATTTTAGTGGTTATGGACGGCGTGAGCCCTTGGGCTTGGAAGTTGAAGACCCTTTGTCCTAGTGGTATGCGAGGTCAATGTCGGAGTCTAAATCGGCAAGGAGCAACTCCACAATTTGTGGTTGGGGGAGGCGTGGCTGTTGGGTTTGGGTTTGGTGGTACAGGTGGATCAGACGGAGGAGGGTTTGGTGGTAGAGGCTATGGAGGAAAAGAGAGAGAGAGAGAGAGAGAGAGAGAGAGATTTTTTAAAATAATTTATTATTAATTTTTAGTCCTCATGGAAGTCCACGTCATTTAAAAAAGGGATCCCACTTTTGACACGTCAGCATTTAACAGACTAACTAACAGTTTGGCTAATGGAGGGGGCAAATTGTAGGTTTTCAGCGACGTTGAGTATGTACTTGTAAATGTCTCCAAAATCAGGTATAAACTCGTAAATGACCCTATAGGTTTAGGGGTTTACTGTAGTTTACCCTAAATTCTTGTACAAATGGTTATTCAGACACTCTGTAATGTGTTCAAATTTCCATTATGGCAATATATCTATATGTAATGTGATTCACTCCAAAAGCTTAGGGTTAATTTGATAACTATTTCAATTTTTTTGAAAAACTGAAAATTCAAAAACACGTTTGGTAACATATTTCATTTTTTTAGTTTTCAAAATCACCTTTATTTTTTAAAACAACTTGAATGTATTTTTCAAATTTTTTTTTTTTTTTGGTGGCTCCTATTTCATTCCTTAATTTTACATCACCACACATGAAATGCACTATATTTACCAAAACTTGATATTTGGGACCTCCAGACTTGGATCGGCCTAATCAATTCTTGCGTTTGACCACATACCCAATTCAAGTCTCGAGAACTCCATATCCAAAATTCACTGAAAAATCATCCTAATTCCAAAATATTCACAAAAAATTACTACGAACTCTTTGTAACATACACTTTCATTTTATGATCTCAAATTCACAATTTGACCACACACCCAAAAAAAAAAAATCATTTCCAAGTTTCACATAAAACTGAAAACTTAAATAAGTTACCAAACAATTTTTGTTTAGTTTTCCAAAAAAAATTTAAATAAAATAAAATTAGTTATCAAACAAGTTTTTAATTTATGAAAATTAAAATGGTTATCAAACGGGCTCTTAGTTGTCCACGAAATATAGCCTAGTAAGTTAGTAACCCATTGTCCATTCCATTTGTATGCACGCTGAATTTGATAGGTAAATTGGTACATATATTTGGTTTCGATTGATATATAATATATATATTTTTAATACCATATAGTATATTTTAATTTTCGATAAAGGCTACCTAGACTAGAACCCATGACATCGTTTATGCTAGTTCCCCCCTTGATTTTGCCAAATTTAACCTTGAACTCTCGTTCGAGATGCATAATTGATTAAACTATTACAATTAAATTTAACGATAGTCTACTACTTCAATTATAATTTATATACGAAATATTTTTGTTCCCACTTCAACACACAAGGATACGCTCACAACCCTTCTTAATACTGGATACGTGTTCATAGACATAACCATAATTAACTTTTTACTTTGATTTATGTAATTATGATTATACTTATAAACACATGTCAAGTGTTGAGAAATGTGGTGAACAAACACCTTGAGTTAAAATGATGAATAAAAATGCTCACAATTATATAACCTAACAAATTAGTTGAACAAACAAATGCAATTAAATTGAATAACGATGGATAACTACTCGAATCAACTTATCATAAGCGCTTAGCTCAAGATAACAAAAGTAAATCTTTTAATTTTAGTCAATATAGATAGTCAAACAAGGTACTTCATGAAAGTAAATTAAAGTCAACTCATTTTGGCATAGTTGCGCCGGGAGGGAAGGGGAGTCAAATAGAGTCATCACATCAGTGAAGAGAGTCTGACGAGTCATGAAAATGTACATTTCGAAAGAAACACAAAGGGTAAAAATTATTGACTTTTTCTTTCCAATGTTTTTCTTTTAAAGACACGTTTCAATTGTTTTGGTGGGAAGTTATTTTTTGTGTTGTAGTTGAAATCAAATTTGGTCCGTCACTCACTGTTCCCGTAATTTTCCCGCGTTGTCGGCGAGGGAACATGCCCAGGTCCACTGCGAGTCGGTGCTTCAATTTGACCGCCTCAGCCGGTTTCGCTGTCGACACTCCTCCAGTTCCACCGCAAATAGAGGAGCCTGACCTGGGCACTGCAGGTCCGTACGGTCCAACTTCTTACACGTGGAGGTTGCACCGACAACTAATCTACGGAGTCAAAACGCGGCCGTATCGCACATTATCCCACGAGAGCTAATGATCAAATTAGCAATTTAAGCACTACCAGATTTCCGAAATTGCTCTGCTTTTTAGGAACATGCCCATCCAGCCTGCCAGTTTATGGTTTCTGACGAGAGCTTTCATGTAAACAGTAATCACTTTCCTTAATTTTGCTATTATTTGTAAGCTTTTTATACTAAACACCATGATTATGACATGATATGATACCATACAAAGACCACCACCATCATTCTTGATTGATTGCTGTAATCAATAACAAAATCCATGTTCCTGCCTTTGTAGAAATATATTATTTTTCTTAATGAAATGATTTGATTTGTTATGTTGTCAGATTATTAATCCGAAGTCGAAACCAAATCGTTTGTCAACCTACGTGATGATGAAGATATAGTTATTTACAAGACAACATTGAGAACCAGGCCCAAAGCATTTATGAAGACAACTTGGCACCTCCCCGTCTCCTATAGACCAAGATGTCCAGAACCCAGAATTATATACTTGGAAAGAAACTTCTAAGCTATACCCCATGGTCCTGCATCACCAGTATTTTACACCAAACAATTTATGCATCAATGTATGGATTACACAATCTAATCCTCTGATCCAAGCCATATTTAGAAAATTCATTGGCCTTTGAACCACTCTAACATACTTTTATGAGTATTCAATCATGTGTCGGGCTACTTAACCCAATGGTTCTCTATCTATCTGTCAAAATTCCACAACAATAAGATGCCAATTTGGAGTAATTGTTCATGAATTTGTTTAGTTTATGTAGTCCTTCAAAATAAAATTTAAGGGAAAAAAACATTACCCTGGTACATTGGATGTACCATATATAGTTATACTTAGTATGAAATCAGATATTTTTAAAGAAAAAAAAAATTACATATTCTGACAACAAAAGAATGAAATCAAATACGAACAAATAAAATATTATCACATCAATTTTGATTTAAAAAGTTAAGATAATAATGTAATTACTCCAAATGAAATCGAAAATGAACAAATGAAATATTGTCACATCAATCGAGATCTAACAAATTTTGATAATAAGTTGATGGCTTGAGTGCTATTACTCGTTACATAAAGCCTTCCACAATCCATGCCTCTTCTTTGAATTTTGTATGTAGTACAAAAAGAGTGTCAAACCGTTGCAAAAATCACGCTTTGTGTTGTGCTGGACTAAAAAGCCACTCTCATCTCATGTGAAAGTCCACATGCACAGGACACCTATCACACAAACAAAGTAGTTCTGGAAGAGAGAGAGAGAGAGAGAGAGAGAGCTTTTTCCCATTTCCCTTTCACTCTTTCACAACAAAAGGGTCTTTAGGAGAGGAGAGGGAGGGAGAGAGATAGATACAATGGAGAAGAAGACGAAGCCGCACCATTGTGGAGCTTCAAAAAAATCAAACACTTTTGTTGTACAATTGTATCTTCTTCTTCTTCTACTCATCACCCTCAACATTTCCACCACCACCCAAGCCTTCAATTACACAGATGCCCTCACAAAGAGCCTCCTCTACTTCGAATCACAGCGCTCCGGCCGCCTGCCCTACAACCAGAGGGTCACCTGGCGTGACCATTCCGGCCTCACAGATGGCCTAGAGCAAGGGGTATGCATGCCCAAAATTGTCATTTCAACCGCTCATTAACTTGCTACTTAAAAAATTAAGTGTGAATGAGGGTAGAGGGTAAGTGTTAATTTATGGCTGGTTAATTATATGTATTTTGTGTAGGTGGACTTGGTAGGAGGGTATTATGATGCAGGTGACCACGTCAAGTTTGGGCTGCCAATGGCATTTACAGTGACGATGCTCTCTTGGAGTGTCATTGAATTCCGGCAACAAATTGCCGCCGCCGGTGAGTTGGAGCATGCAATGGAAGCAATCAAGTGGGGCACCGATTACTTCATCAAGGCTCACACCAGTCCCAATGTGTTATGGGCTGAGGTACATCTAATTATTAATTTTTGCTACTTTGCTTTAATTACATAGCAGAACACATTGAATTAATTAGTTAAATTTGGGCACATGTAATTAATTATTCAATTGTTGTGACATGCCTAGGTGGGTGATGGCGACACTGATCATTACTGTTGGCAACGGCCGGAGGACATGACAACATCAAGGCAAGCCTACAAGATTGACGAGACTCATCCTGGTTCGGATCTCGCCGGGGAGACTGCGGCGGCAATGGCTGCAGCAGCCCTAGTGTTCAAGAAGACTAACCCACATTATGCCCACCTACTCCTACACCATGCCCAACAGGTACTCTAATTTATATTTTTGAGCAAGCTAGTTGGTTCAATTAATTAGGTTAAAATAATAGTGTACTAAGTGAGGTTTTAAATGCTTAAGTAGATTTTTTTTTTTGGTTTGGTGTTGTGTAGTTGTTTGAGTTTGGGGACAAGTATAGGGACAAGTATGATGGCAGCTTGGGAGTAGTGAAGAGCTACTACGCGTCGGTGAGTGGGTTCAAGGACGAGTTGTTGTGGGCAGCTTTGTGGCTATACAAGGCCACCGACAATGAGAAGTATTTGAAGTATGTTATTAGCAAGGCTCATAGCTTTGGTGGCATTGGCTGGGCAATAACAGAGTTCAGTTGGGACGTTAAATACGCTGGTCTTCAACTCGTTGCCTCTAAGGTAAGTAAAGTTTCCAGTTCTGTATCATATTTACGAATCATATTTTTATTTTTATTTTAAAATCCATGAAAATTAGGTGTATTCTAGTTTTCCACAAAATTAGTGCGGCGTCTACTATTTCTGGTGGGTCTCACACATTAGATATATTAAAAAATTCAAAAATAATGTGATAAATAATGTGATCAGTGTAACTTATATCTAGTGTTAGAATTGATCCCAGTTTTGATTTTTTTGGCTTTTCAAATTTTCAATTTGAGTGTTGTTGTCTAGGTCATAGTTGCCTCAATTTTATCCTCGCAAATCATTTTGGGATTTGGCTTTTCCACCATTCAAACATGAAATAATAAAAGAAGCTTTACATCACGCTTTTACTTTATAAAGTTCGTCCATGGAATTAAGGCACATAGCGAGGATTTAACAGGAACAAAATCAAAGGAAATAATCTTCTGCACAAAGCCATGTGCGAAAAATGATGCTTTGCATGGAAGTTCTGTGGAAAGGCCTGCCACGTGGCAAAGCCTAAGCGGTTACAGAACGTACATAGGTCATCCCACGATCCCCGAGTAGAGACGACACCCTGCATTCAGATTAGTAGATGTCATCATGGTAGTAAAGATCGCTGATCTAATCAGTTCTTGTCTTCAATCTTCCTCAAATGGGGCCCAAATCGTTGCATGTGGCTGGCCCACTTGTGAAACTGAGTGGATACAATTCTTTCATTTAAGGCTCTCCGTCTGTTAGACGAGGCACAGCCTCTCCAGTTTGATTATCAAAAGACACATCATATCAAAAAAGCTCAAATTAGAGATGGGGACGTGAGTTAAGTCAGTTCGATAAAATAGCGATTTCGTCGGTTGGAACCCTCTCTTTGCAGAGAAGATAGCTCTAAACAGTTAACGGCTGAAAAATAATGTAACACATGGGTCACATGCAATGGTCTAGAACCATGATTCAAATGGGTTGTTACATCATCCATGCATATTTTGTCCCTGGGACCCTTTGAAACTCACTCCATTAATTTCGGATTTTCATAGTAATTGACCCTAATATTTAGGAGCTAATCATGTGTTTTTTTCCTTAAGCAAGTTCAATGTTTCATCTGCAGTTGCTGATTGAAGAAAAACACAAGCAACACTCTCACATTCTAGAGCTATACAGATCAAAAGCAGAGCACTACATCTGCTCATGCCTAAACAAAAACAATGACACCAAAAATGTGGAGCGCACACCAGCAGGCCTGTTGTACATAAGGCAATGGAACAACATGCAGTATGTTTCAACAGCTGCTTTCCTCCTAACAGTGTACTCTGATTTCCTCAAAAGCTCAAACCAGAAGCTCAGCTGCCATGGAGGAATGGTGGGCCATGAGGAAGTTCTTGATTTTGCAAAATCACAGACTGATTACATTTTGGGCGCCAACCCAATGAACATGAGCTACTTGGTGGGGTATGGTCCAAAATACCCTCAAAGGGTGCACCACAGAGGAGCCTCTGTTGAGTCGTATAGAGAGAATAAGGGGTTCATTGGGTGCACCCAAGGGTATGACAATTGGTATGGCAGGGATGAGCCCAACCCAAATGTTCTGGTTGGGGCTTTGGTTGGAGGGCCTGATTGTCAAGATAATTTTGTGGACCAAAGGGACAATTATATGCAGACTGAGGCCTGTACATATAATACAGCTCCATTGGTTGGGGTTTTTGCTAAGTTTTCAGAGGTAGAGGTCCAAAAGATGGATCAAAATATGGGTTTGGTTGCTTCTTATTAGATATACAATATGGTTTCGGGAAACATTGTGCTGGGTTTATTTGTTATAAGCCCTTTTTTTGGCTTTGTAATGGTGGCTGAACTGAGGTGTTCTAGCCCATTTTGTACCCTTCATTGTTGCAAGTGTTTATAGTATAACCTTTTAAGTATAAAGCTCCACATTCTTTTCTTACTTTAGCTTTTTATTTTATTTTATTTATTTATTATTTATTATTTATTTATTATTATTAATTTATAAAATTTTAAAAAAAAAAAGTATAAAGCCCCACTGCAGAGACCAATCATGCATGAATAACCATCATCAACCTATCCGTGCAAGTAATATTAAATTTCAAATGGACGGGCTCATTACTTAACTTAACCACCTACGAAGTTAAATAGTTGTGAGGTTTTATTACAAAAAATCTCGGTGATATTAGTAGTTAAATAATTTATTATATGTTTATTTAGTCAAGTTTTCGATATAAGACTTTTATTCTTCAATAAGTGAGACTATAAACGGGAATGGAAGCATAAAATTCAAATTCCCAAAGTTCGAATTGTTTGAATTTCCATTTTCATAAATTAGAATAATTTAGAATGGTTAAGAATGTCGGTTATATATTAAAAACAAAAAAAAAAGCAAAAAAAATACACGGCTGAATTCGTCTTCCAGTTGTCTCTATCTGACCTCTTCACTGATTATGAAATTGAAGTGGGCCAAAGTTTCTTTTTATTGGGATTGGATAGTCCAAGATTGCAAAGAAAGAATATCCCTACGATTCACACCTTATTGTCCTTCATTATGCGATTCTCCCTTTGTGCTAAGTCATGGGCAGCCTCTCAATTTTAGACCATGGATATGGAGCAACATATATGAATTTCATGTTTATCAG